ATTCGTTAGATGACTGTTCACATTTTCTTTTTATAAATCATTCCTTAGTTGACTCGTCACATTTTATTTTTGTAAATCATACTTTAGTTGACTCGTCACATTTTCTTTTTGCAATTTTTTTACAAGTTGGCGTGTCACATTTTCTTTTTGTAATTTCTTTATAAGTTGACTCGTCACATTTTCTTTTTGTAAATCATTCTTTAGTTGACTCGTCACATTTTCTTTTTGTAAATCATACTTTAGTTGACTCGTCACATTCTCTTTTTGTAATTTTTTGCAAGTTGGCTCGTCACATTTTCTTTTTGTAATTTCTTTATAAGTTGACTCGTCACATTTTCTTTTTGTAAATCATTCTTTAGTTGACCCGTCACATTTTCTTTTTGCAATTCTTTATAAATTGACTCGTCACATTTTCTTTTTGTAAATCATTCGTTAGTTGACTCGTCACATTTTCTTTTTGCAATTTCTTTATAAGTTGACTCGTCACATTTTCTTTCTGTAAATCATTCGTTAGTTGACTCGTCACATTTTCTTTTTGCAATTTTTTTATAAGTTGACTCGTCACATTTTCTTTCTGTAAATCATTCGTTAGTTGACTCGTCACATTTTCTTTTTGCAATTTCTTTATAAGTTGACTCGTCACATTTTCTTTCTGTAAATTATTCGCATGTTAGCTCATTGCATTTTCCTTTGCAAGTTTTTTACGTCGGTCCACCATCCTTCCTTTCTGTTAACTTTTTCAAAGTTGACTCATCAACTTCTTGTAAATCATTTGTAAATTGGCTCATTCTGTTTTCGTTTGTTTTGTTTTGTTGACTCGTCACATTTTCTTTTTGCAATTTCTTTATAAGTTGACTCGTCACATTTTCTTTCTGTAAATCATTCGTTAGTTGACTCGTCACATTTTCTTTTTGCAATTTCTTTATAAGTTGACTCGTCACATTTTCTTTCTGTAAATCATTCGTTAGTTGACTCGTCACATTTTCTTTTTGCAATTTCTTTATAAGTTGACTCGTCACATTTTCTTTCTGTAAATCATTCGTTAGTTGACTCGTTACGTTTTCTTTTTGCAATTTTTTTACAAGTTGGCTCGTCACATTTTCTTTTTGTAAATTATTCGCATGTTAGCTCATTGCATTTTCCTTTGCAAGTTTTTTACGTCGGTCCACCATCCTTCCTTTCTGTTAACTTTTTCAAAGTTGACTCATCAACTTCTTGTAAATCATTTATAAATTGGCTCATTCTGTTTTCTTTTGTTTTGTTTTGTTGACTCGTCACATTTTCTTTTTGCAATTTCTTTATAAGTTGACTCGTCACATTTTCTTTCTGTAAATCATACTTTAGTTGACTCGTCACATTTTCTTTTTGTAATTTTTTGCAAGTTGGCTCGTCACATTTTCTTTTTGTAATTTCTTTATAAGTTGACTCATCACATTTTCTTTTTGTAATTCCTTTATAAGTTGACTGGTCACATTTTCCTTTTGTAATTTCTTTATAAGTTGACTCGTCACATTTTCTTTTTGTAAATCATTCGTTAGTTGACTCCTCAAATTTTCTTTTTGCAATTTTTTTACAAGTTGACTCGTCACATTTTCTTTTTGTAAATTATTCGCATGTTAGCTCATTGCATTTTCCTTTGCAAGTTTTTTTACGTCGGTCCACCATCCTTCCTTTCTGTCAACATTTTCAAAGTTGACTCATCAACTTCTTGTAAATCATTTGTAAATTGGCTCATTCTGTTTTCTTTTGTTTTGTTTTGTTGATACGTTCATATTTCTTTCTTAAAAATTATCCGTAAGTTGCCACGTCAACTTTTCTTTTTATAAATCATTCACAAGTTTACTGATGATATCTTCTCTTGAAAAATATTTGAGCGTTGTTTCATTCATATTTGTCTCTGTTGATTATTTCCAACTTAGCTTTCCATTAGTTTCTTTTTATATTGTTTAAAAGTGGGCCGAACAATTTTTTGTAGATTATTCATAAGTTGCCTGATCGTATTTTCTCTTGTTAGCTATTCATGGCTGCTCACCCCCTTCTCTGTGGGAAATATTTGAAGTGTTATCTCATGCAATATCTTTTTTGAGAATAATCCTCATCACTTTTTCCTTGGTATTTATTCTGTTCACCCATTTTTCTGTGGAACGTCTTTTGAAATTAGTCTCATCTAATATCTTTTAGAGAATTATCCGCAAGTTTCCTCATCACCTTTTTCTTGTTGGTTAGTCTGCTCACCTTTATTTTCTGTAGAAAGTCTTTTGAATGTTGTCTCGTCTAATATCTTTTATAGAATTATCCGCAAGTTGCCTCGTCACTAGTTATTAGTAGTTGCTCACCCTTATTTTCTGTAGAGAGCCTCTTAAAAAATATTTCGTCCAAAATCTTTTAGAGAACTATCCGTAAATTGCATTATCCACTTTCCTCTTTCCGAGTTATTCGAAGCTTTGCGTGCCAGCTGCCACAGGTGTACAGAGCCGTCGGAATTCATATTGGAGGGGGGGGGGGGGGGGCGGGCTGGAATTCATATTAAGGTCGAATCATAGATTACCTTCATTGGCTGACTTTCCTCGCTACATTAACAAAAGAATCGGTTATCTCTTCATGATAATTTCCCTTGAATTTTTGATATTCTTGATGGTTTTCCATTGACATTTCTTATTTTAGACGTCTTCATTGCACCTCTAAGCAGATGCAAATTTACACCGATACCTGATGTCGACGAAGATGTGACTGAAAATTGGAAGGTAACTTGCACTTTTTTGCGCATGAATGAAATTTTAGAGACTATTTCTAAGAAAAGCTTTTCTCGCCATGTTGGGTAAGTCTTCAAAAATTTCTACTTTCCTTTTTTCTGTTCTTAAATCAATCTTCATGTATTTTTAGTATTCCAAAAAATGACTGCACTAGCCAAGCTAATTTTCAGGTAAAAACACCAAGCCTGTTATTGAGATAAAGAAATCTTCTGCTTTAAAGCTTGCCTGGCTAACATTAAAGTTAGATCATTCTGATCATGGTATAATTTCATGTTACGCTTTAATTATACTTTTTAATTATACAATTTAGTTTTCGAGATAGAATAAACAACGCGAAATACCATAAACCAACTGTAAAACTTGATGGAGTAAATTCCATAGCTTACTCTGATTTAACTCTCTTGTTTCTTTTACGTTTATTTAGTAGAAGAAAAATATATTCGATATGTGGAAACGATTTTGGGTACAAAAATTTGACCAAAAAGAGGATTTTTTTTTAATTCTTGTAGCCTTTATATTTTTCCCATGTCAAATTAATCTAACAGGCAGAGGAAATAATAAATAAAGCAAAGCCTGAAGCTAAATAACATAGGGCTATCCTCTGCCCCTAATGAGGACTGTTAAATCTCATTTCATCTATTTCACATTTTTGTATAAGGGGGCGAGCCCTTAAGCATATCTGAATTTCGAGGAGCCTTCCACTTCTTTGGTTGGTGAAAGGACCACCCCATCGATTGCTTGGTGATGCAAAATTGAGCTGATCGATTTCAAACATGAAAGGGTAATTTTCATGAACAATCGTCAGTGAAGAATATTTTCCAAGCAGGTTCAAGTTTCATACGCTGTGCTTTTAACCCTACTCGTCGTGTATTTCCCCTAATTACAGTGACGGAACAATTAAAATGGTTGACAAATATTCCACTGACATCTTCTCTTAAAATTTCATTATTTCCAATTAAAAACGATGATAAAGTGACTAAAAGTTGTCTTGAATATGGTGGTCAAAAAACGCGTGGCTCCCTGATAAGAATGAACCTTCAAGTTTGCTATAATGAAATCGGCCTGCGTATAATCTATTCCAACAATTTATATCAAAGAACTAAACTACTTTATGTAAATTTAACAGCGAAATGCAGCATGATTTGTTATCTCTTCCAAAAACAACCTTCACACGCGTAATAATAATTATTTGGAAAATGATACTTGGAAATCAAACTGCAATACAATTTATTTTCTCTCAATTTTGAATTAAGTTCTCTGTCACAAAGCATTGCATACCCCTTCACAGAAAAATAATCAACCCTCTATATTCATCCGTCAATTGGAACAGATGGCATTTCTATGAAAAACCACCGAAAAACCAACAATATGCTTTGCAAGCAGACTTTATTCTCAAAAATTAACAAAAAGCAGTAACTCACTATCGATGATTTTCAAGCCACCAAGACAACCATCTGCTTTATTCGCTTGCAATCCCAAATTCACGTTTACAATTTCTGTGCAATCATTCACAGTGGCTTTATGTGACGGAGTCATCCACATAAACGGTCTATCTCAACCAGTAATGCCTAACAGGCTATTCAATTCCCGTACAGTTCTCGGGTCAATAATGAAATTAGCTTTTCGAACAAAGTCTTGAAATATTTAATGAGCCAGATAAATTACACAAATGCGTATTGCGAATTAATGAATGAAGCAAAACGAGTGTTTTCTCTCTGATCCTGGTTTTTCGTGTTCCTGTAAGATCTAGTATTTGCTCGCAAAACCCAAAACTAAATTATTGACAACGGGATCAGCTCTAAGAAACGGGGCAATTTTCGTCAAGCCGGTGAAGATTTCCTGCCAATCAAGCACATGGGGATTTGAGAGATAATCTTCGGATCTGATTAAAACCACATTATAAATTTTTCTTCTATATATCACCAAGCCGTTCTATCTTCGCAGTGATAAGAAAGGAGTCCAGTGGCGGATTTAAGGGGGGGGGGGCAATTAGAGGCAGTTGCCCCTCCCTAACCAAGTTAAAGCAAGTATGGCCCCCTTTTTTGGAAATTTTGCGCCTCTTTTGAAGAATGAGAATCAGGAGACAAATCGGTTAATTTACTTCAAGGAGTACCTGAAAGTATACAACAAATATTGTGATAAATCCCTTACAAAGAATAGAGAGCCTTCTGTCAGTAGTTAGGGTCAGAAATTGTTGTTTACAGCGTACACTCATCACCAATTTTCGAAAAATTTTCAGCGCCTCCTCCTTAAAACTGCCCCTCCTTAAAATTTGCTCTGGATCCGCCCCTGAAGGAGTCAGACACTCGATGAGCTGGCAACCTGGAATTAGTAGGTGTATATGTAAAATAGGTTTATCCAGATGTTTATTTCGTGACGTCATCAAACATATCTTCCAATCGACTGTTTATATGTACTAACAGTGGTCAAAATGTTCATTAGCGCGCAACAGTACATCAGGACCCCATTTGAACTGGAGAAGCTGGGTCAAGTGAGTACAAGATCTGGACCAAGATAAAGCCAGTATTTAACTGTTTACATGGAAGGAAACATGTTCTAAACATTACCAGACAAAAGCTGGCGCTCTGTAAAGCAAGAAGTGGTAAAAATGCCAATTTCACTCGTATAAATGGGATCTAAATTACGCTCTTCTCCAGATGATAATATTATCGTTAAACTATGTGATATTGCCACCATTATCTTTGGTACCCCAATTTTGATATCATACTTCAGCTTCAGTTCTTTTGTGAGAACCAATCAAACATGTCTCTCTTCCTTTCACGTTGTTCGATCCACGCCTGAATATAAATTTTCTGCTTACTTTCGGTCATTATCCGACGTTCATACTCCGAAGAGTGTCGGACAAAACGTGCTTCAGTATACTTATGACAAACTTACACAATACTGAACTAGGATCTGTACTTAGAGGAAAAAACATATAAAATGTTTTTCAGAACACAAGAAAACTTTAGCACGCTTCCAAAAAACCTGTGCTTGTGTTTCATGATATACATCGTAAAACTACGTTTACAATTGTTTAAACAATTATGCATTGGAGTATAATAGGCTTAGGAATAAACACAAAAACAAATAAGAGAGTACTACTTTATATTATAACACAAACTAAGTTTTCAAAAATTTCTATCAATTACGTTTGACACATTGTGATGTCTGAATTCGCTAAAATTAAAAGAAAAAAAATTTAATAGAAAGAATAGGATTTTATATGGATGAAAATTTAATCAAATGCTATTTAACACTTTCTCATAAATTCAACATCAAACTGAACAACATCAAACATATTAACAAGCAGCTATTATTTGTGCACGGCATTACATTAACACGTGTAAAAACAGGCCTATCTTGAAAGCAATAGATAGATAGTAAAGGGATTTTAGCCATCAATCAATCAATAATTGACCAATCAAGAACCGTGATGCAACTTATGCGATTATTGATTGGCCAACAGCTGATTGACAGATTGGTGTTTGTAACTGTCTCTCAATCGTCTTCATAAATGACCAGGCTATATTCGATTCTGAAAAGTGTAAACTTGTTTTGGACCACCCCCTGGAATGTTTCCTCGTGACAATGTTTAAATTATAATTTTTTTTCAAAATAACAGGTTACAAACAAATTACCTAAAACTATACCTGACGAAGAGTACATTACAAGGACAGTAAGGAGGAGCAATAAATCATGACTACCTCTTATCACCAGACATATATATAAATTACAATTCTTTTATTTAAAAACAATTTTAAAAATGAATGAACACAAAAGAAATAAAGAAGACAGTTAAAGAGTTTTGTTCCTGAATTGTACAAACCGTTTAAATTATGAACCAACCTAGAGTAATTTTAAGAAAACAAAATTTCCTTTTAGCAAAGATTCAAGGTGTTATCAAATTCATAGGTCTGTCACATTACTTATTGCAATGCCTGCAAGATACTAGGATCTATTTGCCAAATAGAAAACATTTCATGTGAGGGGCGTTCTGGTACCCCCGCTGGTTCAAAAGTTATGGCCAAAAGACTTTTTTGGGACCCCATTTTTTATTTTTGGCACATAGTGGCACAATCATAAAAGATAAATTGTCACCGTTTCCATCATTTTCAATCCACCATATAGCAACCAGTTTGGCACCGCTTGCACTTCGGTACCCCCAGAACAGGGCCCACTTTCGCTTGCCTCTGTGACGTCACGACCACGCCCAATCACGCTCAAATTCATGTCACTCGTGGATATCAATCAAATGAATTAATTGCAGGGGCTTTCTTAGAATCATAACATAAAATATCTCACCCTCGTCTATCTATAAATATCAAGGGAGCATCTACTACAAACATTTTTAGAGATTTTCAGAATCTACCTAAAAGCATAAGAAATAGAGGAGGTTTAATGTTACTTGGAGAATAAAATCTAACAGATTTTGACCATCTTCAATCATGCTGTGTATCAGGTGACCTCACAATATGGGTGTACAGGGGGTGTAACCAAAATTTGAGTTAATTTAAAAAGATGCCAAATTTGCTGGCAAACAAGATTTTTGAGTGGTTTGGGTACATGAAAACAAGCATCTAATGGCTATGATGATGAGGTAAGGTTGAACAAGCAACAATACCATATAACCAGAGACTGGTCAACAGTTCAGCCTGGTATACACTTTTGCTTAAACGTGATGATGGCATACTTGCACAAGTACATAACAAGAAGATCATATGCATACAGCAGTTAGTCTAGAAAGATATAACAACCAAAATTATACTTATTCCCCAGTTAATAATTCACTTGAAAAAGAAAACTTGAAAGAAAAAAAATTAAATATTTTTTATGAGGAATTGATCCACATGGCTGTTTTTAGTAAACATTGTCATAAATGGAGGTTAATAAAGGAAATTAAACAGAAAAGGCCTCAAACAGATAACGAATTCTGATAAAATTGTGATTCCTCAAGCCTTTTGAACCATTCTTAGTGTATTATTAAAAACCGCAACGTCATGCCATCCATATTTCCTTCAGCCTGTCTCTACCTGTCCTGAAATTTTCTTCTAACAAGTCTAAAAAATTCATATCATTGTCATCCAATTGAAAGTCAAATACATTGTTGTTTTCTTTTATATGCCTTTCCTTAACTGATTTAGGAATGCATATCAAATTTTTTTGCAAACTCCAGCGAATCAGCACATTGGCTGCAGTCTTATGATGTTTCTTTGCAATGTACTGGACAACTGGATGGTTTAGTTTAAGTCCTCTAGTGAGTGGTGAATATGCCATTATATGAATACCATTGTCTTTGCAGTACTGCATCACTGCCCGCTCCTGATTAAATGGATGCACTTCAATTTGATTAACTGAAGGTATAATCTTTGAATATTTCCCTAATGCTACGAGGTGGTGGACCCCAAAATTTGAAACACCAATTGACCTGAAATATAAGAATGTAACAAGGTAAATTACCTCTTCACTGCATGAAAGCAAGTTAAGGCTGGTTTTTATATACTGTAATTTGTCCGCGATGATCCCTGATGCAGCTTCCCGATGGTCTATGACAGTCTGCGATGGTTTATGACATATGAAAACCGGGTCATCAGGAACAATCGGCAATCATCCCTGATCATCGCAGCCAAACTTTCATCAAAATTATAGTTTTGGGGCTTCAATATTGTTTATAGCATCGGGGATTGTCCCCGACCATCGAGGATCATCCCGGACTGTCTGGGATGGTCCCCAACCATCAGGAATGCTGTGCATTGGGGATCATCGCTGACGGGTTATGATTTATGAAAACCAGGCCTAATCATGCTTTGATTTTGGTTGTAGAAAGTCAATCATACATTAAATTCTCATACAGATATACTTCTTAAACAGGAGCAATTTCCAATCTGAAACCTATGTTTGAATTTTGATACAAAATTTTCGTGGAGAAGTGACCTTGAAAGTTATTTTCAAACTTCTCTAAGCAAACAACAGACACAAATTTTAGTAGAAAAATTTGTCATGAACACAACTTTTATATTTTTATAGCAAGTGAAACTTTACTGGAAGCTATCATGGCTTCAAGGAATGAAAATAGACTGATAGGTATTCATTAATGATCTACATATTCAACCAGGCAATGGCTGATTACTTAAAACTGCATCTTATATATTTATAAAATCACAAGTTAACAAGATCAAACAAATACTTATAAAGCAGCATTTAAGATATCCTCTAAAAATTCATGATCTAGCAATTTCTAAGCATGTAATTATGCATACAAATAGAATATTACAACTTTTCCTACCTGGTAAGCCCTTGCTCCATTAGGTGTATCATTGCTTTCCAAGTATCAACTATCTTCCCTCCAACAGGAGAATGTATTAAAAACAAATCAACATATGCAATTCCAAGCTTTTCTAGACTGTTCTTCAATGACTGAATTGTATTTTCATAACCATGCATATCATCCCAGACTTTTGTGACAATAAATAATGACTTCTGTGAGACATCAACTTTTTTCAGAACCTGACCAACATCGTGTTCATTTGCATACCTAGCAGCAGTATCAATCATAGGGTACCCTCTTTCTATTGCCCATTTAACTGCCTGCTTTGTTTCTGTACCAGGACTTGACTTATACACACCAAGACCAAATCGAGGTATTTCAATGCCATTATTTAAAACTAAGGTAGATTCTATATGTAGTTTTTCCTCTTCTGCAGAACTTCTTGTAGAATGGATACTTTGAAATTTGAAGAATCTGTAATGAATGGAGAATCTGAATTAAGATTGTGAATTTTATGACAGACTAATAAAGTATATTTATGCAAGATATAGCAGAACATATAGGAAACTAAGAAGAGTTTTAGGGGGTTTGGCACACTTAAAGGTAAGCCTCTAAAAATTGACCCTCACCAATAATTATCATACCTATGTTAATATTGTAAACATTTAGACATTTAACAAACAAAAAGGGATCAGGATGTGATATTTGCAGGAATTTGATATTTGAAGTCTTGTATTCTTATAAAAACCAGAGATTTATCAAAACAATCACTGAAAAATTGACACTTTTTGCCAAAACATTCTTAAATTTCTAAACAAATTTTTTTGATAGTACAGAATTCATGATGTACCCAAACAATGATACCACATTGTTATTAGCTTTTTGACTGAAACCTCATCAATCCATAATAATGATATATAACATAATAATTTTACCCATGAGTGGGTGATATGATTAAGTATTCAATGTTGGTTTAAAATGCTACAAATCAGTGACAGACACTTGACATTGTTTTATCATCTTTACATGGCCATAGCAACAATGCTCGTCGTGATAAAAATTGAACAGTCTAGGCATGAATGAACATCTGTCCCTAACATTCACACAAAATAATAAAAGTCTAGGTTAGTAACTTTTACTTACAATTATTTAAAAAAATGTCGAAACATACTGACAGTCTGATAAATTGAAACATTCCGTCTCATGTTGCCATTATTAATCCACTCGGCTATAATCCACATGCTAAATATTGGCCACAAACATCACTTGATATTATATTGATTGATTTTACCACGTTCTGTTGTTGTCAACATTAGCATTGTTTTCAACGACAAAGAATTTCGCTCTTTTTGTCAATAAAATCGTCAACATGAGCGTGCTCTTTCTCCAGTATTAAAGAAGATTAAAGGAGTATTGAACAAACCTTCTAAACACTTCCTTCTGGCGACAAAACAAAGCTGAAAACGATTCCACTGAAACCTTCTTGCAAGCAGACGTCTTGCTCTGCCTAGAAAGAACAGGTCTTCGCACGCTCCCAGCATCAGAAAAACCTTTCCTTAGCACCTTCGAAAATCGGATGATCCAACTTTGAGGTCTTCCATGCGTTTGTTGATACGTAAACGTTGCAACAACTGCCCTTTTAAACTGGTTTGTGCTGTTCATTTTCTCGTGTTTTTAGTATTTGTCCTCCATATTCTTCTCAAAACACGAGTCTCGTTTCCGAAAGGGGGCTGATAATGAACACATCACATCAACACATTGCATCAACATCATAAAGACAGAGAAATGCAGCAACACAGTAACCCAGGCAATAGACCAATTTTTTTGCTCTGATTTGCTCTAATGAGGCCCCGTATGCCGGGGCGAAATATAAGCCTTCACTGATTTACGTGTATTTATTGTTGTTTATTCTCAGCGTATTGCGGTGTTTCTTATTGAATGTAATGGCTTTTGGGCTGTATTCAGGGGCGAAACTGCTAGGCGGGTATGGGGGGGGGGGGCAGTGCTGCAGGAGTTATGCCCCAAAATTCTCTTAAGGTTTTACACTTATGGTCCGAAAGTATTGCACCCTTCGCTAAAAAGGCCGTTTTGTTAACTAAAGAAAATTTAAACAGCTGTTTTAAGTAACAAAAAGTTTTAAGCTGAAAGTTTTAGCGGGAAATATAACATTTATCAGAGAATTTTAGTGAAGACAAGAATTGCAAAAAAATTCGAGTTTCTTCTATTTCTAAACAATATCCATAATTACGAGAACATGAAAATTGAGCTTTGATGATAGGTATACCTGTGAAATATTTCCAATAAAAAGGGTTTTCTTTGCATAAGCTTGAGGGATTTTGTTATGGTGAATTCAGAGAAACTTCATGTTTGGGTGTCTAAAAATGTTTAATTTCCTTACGGAGCAACCGAAAGTTGAAAATCAAACTCAGAGAATAAAACTGGTGCTCTTCTATGGGATTACCATTTTTGTTGAAACATTGTAGTCTGTTTCTAAATTCCAAAATTTCCAAGCTGTGTTTTGTTGTTCCACTGTGATCAAATTGAGACTCTACTTCAATCTCTTTTTTAAATTGCTCTTTTTATAGCTAAGAGTTTAGAAATTGAAGACTATTTTCTTTTATAGAAAAGACGGTTTTACAAATGCTTGCTTTTCGGAAACAAATGTTTATAGCCAACACCAGAAAAACTAGAGGCATATTTTTTTTACTTTAAACAAACAGCCTGAGTCTAAAGACCTAACATATTTGGTGACCCTCTTTTGGGGTCCCCGATGATTTCAACCCTTGAGGCGATTTGCCCTAAAAATGATGTTCAGGCATGACACGCCCTTCCATCAAGCATGACACGCCCTTCCATCAAGCATGACACGCCCTTTTCGTCGGGCATCAAAGCTTCATACCCCCTAATGAAAATAGTGAAGTTTCGCCCCTGACTGTATTGCTATTTAAACTGAATCCCTATTTTCAATCTACTAAGGGATCATATTTCAATAATAATTACATTCGATGCAATTGAATGCGATTAATAAAGATTCTTTAAAAAAATTGCAGAAGATGACAGTACTTTCATTGAAGTCTAAGTATCACCAATTATTGTGTTTAAGCATCTTTATATTATGCTTTATTTGCTTTCTTTTTTGGTATGGAATCCAGGGACCGCGCACCAGTTTAAAATTGGAGAGGCTGAAATGGGTGTGCCCGAGAACTTTTTGAGGCCACGCCCTCTAGAATGCCGGAAAACGCCGCTTTTAGAAAATATTTACTTAGTTCTACCCAGTTTTTACAAACAGTCTAGTTCAGGGAAGACATCAGTAACTATAAAAATAGATAGAATTAGCTTGAGGGTAACAAAACACCAAGCTAACCAAGTTAAAATTACATCATATCATTAGTTAAGAAAAAAACTTCTAGAAAAGGAACAAAAATGGTTTCCAGTCAAGACAAACTGCTACTACATAGGAGTAAACTTTCCAAGGTTGTGTTTGAATAAAGCAAAAATATGTCTAGCCTGTTATTGCAAAAAAGTTGGGGGGGGGGGTTATAGCCCCTGCTAGCGCAATGGCTGCGCGGTGCCTGATGGAATCGTTGGTTTGGGTCTTGCCCATGGCATTCATACTAAATCGATATACATTATATTGAAGAAACTTGCTCGAAAAATGGCTTTTATGAACTCTACCTCTCCTTCTACTCCTATCTTTTCCAATTTAAAAGTTCTTAAGTTGTATGATTTATTCTATTCGAAGCTGCACATATTTATATATTGGTTTGCTAATGGGATTTTGCCTTGAAATTAAACTTTTTCCGAAATTTTAACACACGTTCATTGATATAATGGATAAAATACAAGACATGCCCCCCACCCCCATCCCCCCCACAAACGCTCCATCACTGTATTGATTCTTGTGCAGATTATGTTGAACTCTGGAAATTATATCGAGCTGCAAAGACAATTAAATCATTCGTAACATTTTACATTTGTAATAACGGGCCTGTAGATTATGAACAGATATACAAGAAAAGCAAAAGTGACTATTTAGTTTATAGAACAAATTAAATGATAAGCCAAAACCAATGGCTCAGAGGATTTGTTTCTTAAAATGCTAAAAACATTCCGAAACCATACCAAGGAAAGATATCCCAGCCAAGTGACATAACAGCTACAAAAATTTCTGCAATAAGCAATAATTCATGCACGTTCTTTGCTCACGCCCCTTTATTGCAAGTTATATCTAAATCAACTGGTATTAAGGAAATGACTGAAACTATCAAATCCTTAAATAATGGAGCACGTTACAGGGACGCCGGATCACATTCTAGAGTGGGGGGGGGGGTGGCGGTGGGGTTAGAAAAGTAGAGGCTCATTACGTGGTTTGCCACCATTATTTTTGATGCCACAACCTTATTATCATACTTGAAATCATACATAATGCGAATAATTGGGGGGCTGTAGCCCGCCCAGCACCCCCCCCGGCTCCGGCGTGCCTGCGTTACAAAATATTTCTTTTCCTAAAGCATGAAAACTACCTAAGATTCAATCTACTCTATTTCGCGTTATTCATTGCTAGCTATAACTTGTTCTGTCAAATACAATGCATTTAATGAAACCTAAAAAAATTACACTTCAGATTGTTTTCTAATTGAATTGTCAGATTTTCTTGAAACTGGGGCTCTTTTACTCGCTTTTCTTCTTAAGGAAAAAGCTTGCCTCTTCTTTGAATGCTTGTGTCCCGTTGTATCGATCGACGTACAAATGACCATCTCTTAGCCTTAGGTAATGTGCCGCTTTCTCTGTAGATTCGAAAGAGACAAAACCATGGAACCACAAGTCAGTCATCGGAAAGAAGGTGCACTCCTTCTCTGTAATGAAATGTCATCAATATTATACATGTATAAAGAAGAGATACTTAAAAAAATCATGTAGCAATAAAAATCCCTTTTAACGCACACCCCTCAAGTTACCTTAGAAAGTTCGAAATAAGGCCTTTTTTAATATACTAACTAGAGGGGGACAATTGCCTTTTCAGCCCCAGTGACTTTCCATAGTTTTAAACAAGAAGCTATTTCCTCCTCTTTACACAAACAAGACTGCCCCACCGCTAATTTTCCTTGAAAAATGATATGGTTTGAAAGCTATAAGTGACAAGTAAGAGCAACATTTTATTTCTCTTAAGTTTTATTGAACTAAAGATGCCAAAGGATTTTGGATTCTTGTGGCAGTCTCGCATTTAACAATTTCGTAATGTTTGCTTGATATGTGATCAACAGCAGCAGTTTTACTCTAGCAAATGAAGGGGCATAGATTCTATATTGAAGTAAACACCTGTTTGAATTGTTGAATCTTGTCAGGTTTCCCTCCCTAATTCATTAGTAGATTGGTTAAGAAAAGTAGCTGGGGCTCCAAACATAGAGTGCATTTGCATTTGTCGATGCATTTTACTCAATATCCAGTTGCCATGAAATAGAATGAATACAATTCGTTTACAATGGTTCTATAATGCTCTTATTCCCTATGAATATATAAGTCTTTTTGCAGTATACTGATTGTTGCCTTGCACTTACCGAAATGCTTCGTAGACCTCCGTGGCTCAATGATACACTGACCTCTTTTTGCCCTGAGGTACCAGTGAGATCTGCGAAACTGGAATGACACACTTTCCTCATTGTTTTTGTCTAGGCCTTGTGTTATTCTAAATATATCTTGTCCTTCTGGTAGTAGGCTATACTTTTGTCTCTTGTATCCTTTCTTTTCTTTCTTTTTCTCACTTGTTGATGATGCTGCAATGGTTGAATGAATTTTAAGTTTGTCAATAAGAATTTGCTGAAATTGAGTATAGCTCATGCGAAAATTAATATGACCATTGCCGAGAGTGAAGAACTAGAGTATCCTGGCGTGAAATTTTGATAAACTATTTCTTACCTTTGTAAAGTGCAATTTTTAAATCCTGACAAGAAGATGCATTATAATTTAACCACCAGGTTGAAAAGGCTGCCCGTCCCTAGTTTAGAAAAACCTAGCCTCAGATTATCTGAAAAATGTGATCATTGAACGTTGGCCAAAGTTATCTGGTTCTTATAAAAAAGCGTATAGTGGGACATACCCTTGTCTACCAAGGTGATTGATTTAGCAATAGTCCAAATAAAAGACGATTGCTTCTAGTGAGAGCCAGTAAAAAGCCGGTGTTGTTGAAGGCGGCTCTGTGGTTGTATTTGCAGCTTTTTGCATATTATGAGATAAGCATAAAGAAAGCTAATTGCTTTTAAAAGATCGATATCCTCATAATTTACGATTGAGTATTAGATAAAAAACCTCTTTTCCTAAGCGCTTTAACAGCGATAAGTTAATAGTCACTATAAATATAATTTCTCTACTCCGGTGAGCGACCAAGGAATCAATTTATTTTATCTCCTCTACTGTAAACAAAGTTGTCTAATCTTTAGGTTTTATTAAACTTTCATGCCCAGAATAAGGTGGCATGCTTCATTTATCTGAAAAGACTCGAAGCTCAACTGATATCGTCATTAATCTTGATAAATGAAAACGTATTTGTTAACAGTGTTTACGCCCTCACAGTAAATTAGGAAATTAGGTCCTAGCCAATCCCAGCGGCGTCGAGACCCAGTTTAAGATAAATACTGAATACGTTTTACCCTATACCGAGAAAAATTCTCAAGGTCCTCCTTTAGTGTACGGGCTCTAGGTTTTTACCCCCAGCAATCCCCCTCTCGAAGCCATTACAACATCTAGCCCTGTTCTGAGTGACCCTATTGTGATTGTTCGGCCATCCATTCTAGCTTTTGTTGGCACTTTTGAACAATATCTGGTTGATACAGCTAGATGTTTCCGGAAGATATTGACAGACTTATTTATTTATGCATTGGTGCAGCGCCTAAAATCATTGCCAAATTGTTGGAAAAAATACCCAAGATATTTTAACAGTTTTACACAATTGTTTCCCTTCCCCTCATTACAATATTGCGAAATCCCAATATTGCATGATTTTTAGTGACAATCTAACTAGGATTGCACGCATCAATACTTCCAACGAAGAATTTGACATTGTACAAAAAGAAGAGGGGAAGAAAATAACAACAGCATTTGTGACTTGGAGAGTTAGTTAATTCTCAGAATTTTCAACTCATTTTGAACTTAAATGCTGCTTATCTCAACTATTTTTGGCAAGAGCTGTAGAACTTATTTGCTAGTGCGGCCTCTTCTAAGTGGAACATAGAGCAGTGAGTTTTCTACCCAGTCTCTCCAACTGCCTTTCTGGGGGAATCTCCGCAAGCTGCTTCGGTCTGTCGTTAGTTTTTGTTGCATTTGAAATAAGGTAACGAGTTTGATGGTCTTTTGAGAGGAAGTGATTAAGCTTGAAGCATCACAAAGACTTTGATGCTATTTTCAGTACGGAAAAGAGTAAGAACAAAACATCCTTCAATCCTGGACCGCTAATTGATGGCCTTCTGCTGCTTAACCAAGATATAAGGCATGTGCCAAGGACTGGCTACAAAAGGTGCTTTCTAAGCAAAAGACAGCAACGAGAGTCACGAGGATAATTTCGAAATTTGATCATTTTTCCTCCCATTATATGTGACACTTAAATTTTCCGATGATGACGATGTCATCAATATAAACCTTGCTTGAATGAAGAAAAGGTCACTGTAGCAGGCTGCTCGACAGGCTCCAGTAACAATGTCATCAATATAAAACGCCGATGATTGTTCGTGAAGATACTGTGACTCATCATCTGCAGCCTTGAGCAGGTGCTCAACGGTGTGCAAAATTAGGAAAGGAAATTTCTAGTCGAATATTTTTTCTGTGCCAGACATAATCGAGTATGTCGTGCCAAACTTTATAAGAACTTTTTCTGTCTTTGCCTTTCTAAGAACATTTTTATTTCAGCAACAGCATAGGAGAGTGCTTTATAGCTCAGCTATTGTCATATTTAATGCAGGAAAATTGAAATGATGTTTTTATCAAACCTTCAACCTAGCTCAGTGCCAGACAACCCAACATCCAGCACTTCCTTCAAATAATGAACGTCTTTTCTTTCCACCATGATAGCTCTCTGTATTTTTACGTACATTGATTTTCTACCTTATCACGTGCCTTGCTAAACACAATACTGTTCCCAACATGGCTTTCCTTCGAAACATATCTCGCACGTGGTTCCCATCTAAACATAACTCGCACGTGGTTACCTTCTAAACGTTGCTCGCACGTGGCTTCCCAACATAGCTAACTTCCTCACACACGAAGCAGAATAGCCCCAAGACAGCATACATAATTAATTGTAAATTTATATTGACATGAAAACTAGCATATCTCAGTATTGATTAAAATTTAACTGTCGTTGTGGTTTTTAGAGATTTGACATCGTGCAACTTTCTTCTTTTTATATTGCTTAAAGCTTTTTCTGATTTCTCATCGCACAGCTACTATTTGACATCGTGCAATTCACCATCGAAATACAGAAAAGTAGAACGTGGCTTCAGTGTTACTATCGCTACTAGAAGTCCTGTTCTAAACCTTATCTACTACACAACCATCTTACAATGTTGCCTGACTCGTTTGACAGAAGTTACTGTCTATAGAAAGGAGGTGTTGTATGGAGCTTTTTTTAAAGTTTTTAATTTCGGAGAAGAAATCTGGAGAAAACACTGTTGTTTGTGAACTTATATTTTCGTTGTTTTGAGGTGTCAAATGTAGATCCACGGCTAAACCAATTCCTCTTTTTACAAAACAAAATGTGACATATTTAGGATTGAGAAAATACAAAGCGTGTGATTTCCTGGCACTTACATGTCGCAACATGTCGCATGCTGTCGAGTGGTACTATAGGCCGATTTCCATTTGACATTTTTTGTGCGCGCGGGCGTAGCCCCCAAATGTAAGCATACGTAATTAAAATCAAGTGGTCTCGATTTTGCGTCCGCTGTGAGCGCCAGAAAGTTAATAGGGTCTCAACTTTTTTTTGCGCTCGGCCACTTTACAACAGCACTTAGCTAAGCATGTTCAAATTTGGGTGCTACGCCCGCGCGCACAAAAACTGTCAAATGGAAATCGGCCTTTAGTCAAGTTTGCAGTGGTACTAAGTATAACTACGTCTGCTACTACTAGTTTCACTGGAAGTCAAACGCAGTGACTCTGTTCACAGAATACAGTCTTGATCACATAGTTTAACGCATTATCTGTTACTTCTTTGGTTTTTGGTTCCTTTTTGAGGGCGTTAAAGAAAAGGTACGAAACAAGACTGAGTCATAATAACGAGTGGACCTCATGAAGAAACATTCTAAAGATCGTTACAATTTTCCATGGGTTCTGATAGTTAGCATGGGTCCCAAGGAGTTTTAATGAGGAACAGATGTCAGTAGGAATATCTTTTCGTCTTGGCCAACATTGACATAAGCGACCCTCGAATTTCTTGAACATGTACAAATCGAGTTGGGTCTTAATTTCGACTCGAAATAACCAAATTAGGTACGTAGCTTTGAATCGCAAATGAAGACGTCAATGAGAAAAGATAAAAGATAAATGACAAAGCTAAAATTTTATCCAAGTTCGATCTAAGTGATTTTCGACTAATCAGAAATCGGACACCTGTTTCCTTTTCCAGTGAATCCGGTTTCTGTGCCAATTCAAATAGAAATTACTAACATAACTTTCTTGGAAACATTGGTAATTACTTTGCGCTGAAGAAAAGCTGGCTCCTTATTGTTGTTGCGTCAGCCCGGGTGGATGGCGGATCGTTGCGGTAGTGTCGAAGTCACTCAAAATCACCGTTTTAAAGATGCAAATCCCACAGCCCATATATTTCTTTTTGCTCTTTTTAAATAGAGGTTTAAATCTATCAGCGCATTGCAAATTACTTAACTTGCCATTTTCGTAAAAGACAAAACGACTTAACCCCTCCACCGGCCCAGAAACCGAATTCAAGAAAATGAAATGTCCATTGAATATTCAACTATCATGTTCCCTTTTGGTAAAATACTTGGTTCGCCTAGTAGTGAGCAGAAAAAACATGCATTTTTAAAAAAATCTGAGACTCTGAGCTACTAGTTTCTGGGACTCAAAATATCATGGAAACATACTTAAGTATTGGTTTAAACCTTAATGATGCTGGTTTATAATTTTGGAAATTACGTAAAAAGACGTTACAAGACAATAATATCTTTTGGGAGATAATTACGTCATACTGCTATGCAGTTATAGAGTTTTGTCAAGGCTTTCCTGCAACAATTTGAATAAACCTATAATTAACAACCTGTCTTTCAATTTTGCTACGAGTTAGTAACTTCCTGTATTAAAAAATATAAATTAAAAATTTCCATTTGACTTTAGGGAATTTTGCCACACGAGTAAATTAAAAAAACAGTGTAATAACCTCACCATGGTCTTTTGTAATTGGCTCAATAGCCATCAGCTCGTGACTCTCCATATAGATCACTTACCATCGTTTATCGCTAGCCTCATATTCCGTCTTTCAGTTGTACACTTGAGTTTTGCACGATCATCTCCAAACATCAAGATTTTCAACAATGATTATGCACGGGGGGAACAACAACCTGTTCTCGATTACCGATAACTTTAATTGGCTATATAACAGCGCAGCTGTATTTAAATGCTTATATATCACCAAGTCTGTTTGAGTCTTTAAATTTTTTTTTATTTCATTGACTTTAAAATGCCGCTATCTATTATCAAGTATAATTAAAGGATGCATAGATCTGCAAAAATAGCTGTATGTGCACATGTGTCTTGCAAATTATTTTGGAAGCATCTTGGGTTGTTTGCTATGTCAAGTTGAATAGAAAGGATGTTCTTTATTTGAAATGAAAGCCTATTAGCAACAGTGTGTGTCAATTATAATCCCAGTTGCAAGCAATTACGATTTTGCATATCACATTTAGCGAAAGCCCTCAACTCGTAGGTCCTACCAGTTTAATACTGTCAATTCATTCTTAATTATATCGTGGTGAATTCACTGTACGATTGTACTACATGCAGCCACAAGTATTGCATATTTAAAATTGAAATAGAAACAAGAAACAGAGTTTAAAAATTGCCCAGGTTATGCATGCATACCCATAACAGGACCTATCGGGAGGGGCATGCCCTCCTCAAAACTACAAACAAATTGAATTTAGGAACATTGGCTGTGCTATTAGCTTGTAGTAAACCTTTGGTACCCTCCCCCCAATATTTATACTTGCATTAGAGTCCTTGCGTTAGAGTCCTTGCGTTGAAGTCTTTGCGTTAGAGTCCTCGCGTTAGAGTCCTTGCATTGGAATCTTTGCGTTAGAGTCCTTGCATTAGAGTCCTTGCGTTAGAGTCCTTGCGTTGAAGTCTTTGCGTTAGAGTCCTTGCGTTAGAGTTCTTGCATCGGAATCTTTGCGTTAGAGTCCTTGCATTAGAGTCCTTGCGTTAGAGTCCTTGCGTTGAAGTCTTTGCGTTAGAGTCCTTGTGTTAGAGTCCTTGCATTGGAATCTTTGCGTTAGAGTCCTCGCGTTAGAGTCCTTGCGTTAGATTCCTTGTGTTGGAGTCTTTGCGTTAGAGTCCTTGCGTTAGAGTCCTTGCGTTAGAGTCTTTGCGTTAGAGTCCTTGTGTTATCATACTTCAATTAATAGCTTCTAATAGATGCAGAGCACCCAAGGCCAGAAGGAGGGACCGATGGGGAACAGGGGCGAAACTACCGGGGGGGTGTGACACCCCCCCAAATCCAAAAAACAGTCGATTTCGCAGGGCAATCGAAGATTTTGCAGGGCGCCAAGAAGAGCTTTATTGCCACGCAGAAATGCCACCTCTGAAATTCGTAAAGAGCCGTTTAGGAATTTTGAAATGGAAATATCGTATTTGTTATGGACCTCCTTTCCTGACATTGCGTTTTAGAGAACGGAACAGGTATGTAAGGAAAAGCTCCGTTATTTGCAAAGCGAAAGCATTTCTTACCGAAAGTCATAGCCAATGGATGCAATGATTGATGCATAAGTTTATGAGGGCAAGGGTGAGTCATGCCAATTAATTTAAGTTGTAAATTATTTTCATGACAAGCACGGCGTCACTGGGGGGGAATTAGGGGCTGAAGTCCCTCACTTTGGTCAAGATAGGAATTTTTATCATTTTTTCTAATACTATTTAACAGTGCATGAACTAAAAAACATAATAAATCGTTAAGATACAGATTTTGTTTCATCTAATTGCTAACTTTTTCACGTTTTTTTTATTATTTCTCTTTTATTTGCATTAATTCAGTAAATCATTTTCTGTATCATTGCAATGTTTTAATTTTGGATGTGTAAACATGGCCTTCTCGATACAAGAAACTGCACATTTCTGTTCAGGAAAAAAAATTCCCCCAATCAAAACAACATCTTCCTCTGTCATTCACAACTGCATGCAATCTGAAACGAAAGGTTGCAGTTCCTTTCCCTCCGCAACGTCTAACACTAGAGTTTTAGCATGACATCCCCCTCCCTATTTTTCCCAATAAGCAATAATATTTTCAATAAACAATCAGTTCTTTTAGCACAATAGTATTTTGCTAAATTTTTGTCTGAAAGATGCTTTTCAGCCCTTTTACAAGGTATAATTTCAAAAAATTTCTTCACGTCGGACCCAACCATGGTGGGTCCTCCTACCTCACTAAACTCGACTCTTAGCCCCACTGGGCTAAATTTCATTGCGCCGTCTACATCATGTAATCCCCCCCTCTCCCAATTAGCTGTTTATTAGCTTAATTTTGCAAACCAACATTAAATGAAGTGACAATAAAAAAAACAATCTACGCTCATGTAGACAAAAAGAAATTTCATAGGCAATGAAGTTTCAAGTTTGTTTTTATTGCTTAGAAGTTTGTCCTTGGTAAAGACCAGTGTACACTGGTAAAGCTTTCACTAGTAGCCTATAGACAAACCGTTGCTACGAGGTCTGCAGGGCACCACTTAGTTTTGCAGGGCAGAAACGCTTTTCACCCCCCCAAAACTATTGGCCAAGTTACGCCCCTCATGGGGAATCTTCAAATCTTTGCTTCTTCAATTCTGTATCGAATGTTGTTACAAGGCTAGCGCTAGTGTAAAGGAATGATTAAGTCCATTCAAGAATTTAAAGTTTCATTCGCTTAGACTCTTCAATGCCAAAGCGCTGAAATTGAAGATATGGAATGAGGGAGGAGAATGAGGCTCAGTTCGAAGCCCTTAGTACCAAAGTTGTTGTAGTTACATGCTGATGACCATGAAATTACAAATATACCGTGTCCAATGGATGTGACACTGTTTAGCGGATCATAAGCAATGTTCCAAGAGTGCGTAATGAATTTGCATCAGCCTCCTTCTGAAGAAAGTTGGTTTATCGTAGGAAAGCAAGATAAAAAGTTATGGGACATTTCCACGGAAGTTTGAGAATATGAATTTTGATAATATAACTTCTAATTAATTTTATTCTTTCTTTCACCTGATACATCCATAAAAGTTCCAAAAACATTGAACAATCAATCAAATATTATCTTCTTTTAGTAAGAATCTTTTACAATGTTCAGCTAGGGAGTAAAGTGAAAAGTTGGTAGAGTATCTTTCAGCTGATGACAGGCTATATACTTCCGTTGTTAATTTTTCATTCAAGACCGCAAATTCTCTCCCAGATGCGCGTTTTTGGGCTAGCCTTGCACCAAACTTTTGGGACGAAAAAACAAATATGTGCATCTATTCTACCTAGTTGCCCTATTAATGTTTTCACATAAGCAACCCTTTGCTGTTGGCAACGTCTCTTAAATTTTTGAAGCAACGATTCTGATCTTAGCTAAATTTTCTCTCTTTTCCATTTACCACATAAATGTTTCCACTTGTTGCATACTGAGTCACCAAACAATACCATATCATAACAATACATTACTATATAAAACCATTGAACAGAACTGCACCAGATTTAGCTATTTTTGAAGCAGTTTAGTCTCGTTTATTAGACAAAATAAGTAATTGCAGGCCTAAGATACATCCTTGCCTCACCCCTGTCTTGCATCTCAATGTCACAGTTTCCTGACGTAGTTTTGTAGTATGGCACACGATTAATGGAATTGATCATTCTATGCCTAATTAATTTTCAGAATAACCATGTCGAATGTATTCTAAAAATCTAAGTTGCTGCCGAAAGTATTGGCACACAATCGTCAGTCTACAAGACAAAATCCTGCCATCCCCCCTCCTCTTGAACAATGTTGACAAAAATATTTGTCTAAACTATCAACACTATTTGGGGGGGGGCGGAAGTAGAAGTTTTCGTGAAATGTATCGAAACACAGTGCAAATTGTTGGGTGCTCTAAGTACTTGTGGCAAACATTTAACATAGTAAAAATCTCTGAAGCTTACATTAGACAATCAATATACGCTCAAAGTACAGGAATGTATTCAGTTTGCATATCTAGTTTGCAGATCTTTCTTCACGAAACTCACTCAGAGCTTCCTCCACCAAATGTTCTTCGTCACTTAATCAAATCAACCGATTGTGCATTATGCCTTCGAATACTTTGCATATGTTTGTCCAAAACG